TTTCGAACCCTAACTATTCTATGATTCTAAGTTACCTTTGAGTTGTTGCTTCATTCTGTCCGCTAAGTGTAATATGAATTTTTTCACTCTCTTTAGTTGTTAATGAATGGTCCAACTGTGAATTGTTAATAAATGATCCAACTGATCTACATTTTTAAAAATGTGCTGGGTGTTGGAGACTGCCGAAATACCACTTTTATTAAGCTGTCTAGAACCTGTGAGTGTCCACTCAAGTACTTGACGTTTGTGGTGGCACTATTCAAGTGCTGTGACTGGACACTCAAGTAGTTTGATCTATATTCTATTCACTGATTAGCTAATTCACTCATTACTAACCTATTCCTCTTCTGTCTCCAACAAATCCTATTCTAATGGTTAACTGAATGTTATCAGTGGGTCAAAACTTGCACTTTGCAAATGCATTAACATCATTTCACATATTCATGGAAAGACAATAAAATGTGAATCATCATCATTAGCACACTGTTCTTTTGAAATAACAGGATTTCAAAAGTAATCATATAGTTTGTTCTTGCTTATCTATTACTATTTTGAAAATACTGTCTCTTTAGCGAAGAGGGTTGTATCCTTTGTATGCAGTGATCTCCATTCATTACTATCTCAAAGAAACACAGACTTACACATAATATTTAAAAGGATAATTCAGTTTTAAAGTGATAAAGAAGATCAAGCTCTATCAGATCATGGTTATCCTAAATTATGGGCAACAACTGGAGAGTACCGAATGCTGCAATGCCACTAGCTTTGGCACAATGACTTGAGCAGGGCCACTGGTCCATCTAATCACACAGCTCATCTGGGCCAGGCAGGAGTAACACTAGGATGAGCACTCAGATACTTAACCACCTGTGACCTGACAAATATGAGATGGCAAATGAGATGGAAAAGAAAGCCACCAGTTAACAGTGTCTGAAACATGCTACATGTTCTTTAGAGAGGAGGCCTAGCTAGGGCTTTTCTGGAGAATGAGTTGAGTCTGCAGTTTCTTCACCAACTGTACTACCACCATTCCATCAACTATGGACGTACCCAGACCTTGCCACAGTGCATAGAATTATTTTATTCACTGATCTTTTTCCACATAGGTACAATATAAGAAATGAAACAAGGTAATGAAACAACTAGTACTTGCCTGAAAGGATGTACACCTTTACCATTTGGCTTATAAATTTAGGAGCTTCACAAAACTTGTCTGAAAGCATTATATGTAGAGACATGTAAAGCAGTATAACATAGTACTCTGTTCATAGCAAACTTTTACAGCAGAGACAAGCCTGGGGTATAATTTCATAGCCAAATAATAGCAGACCAGTGGAAGGTTTTGACCCAGATAAAATATTTCTTATTGTGGACCCATTTCTGCACCAAGTGAGCACATGTACCTGGGTTGTTTTGGTTTGGGATTTTTTTTTTTCCTTATTCCTGGATGAAGTTATGTCTGTATGATCCTGGGACCAGGTTTATATCAGTCTGAACCCCAGGGTATGAAGAATAATATAGTGCTTTGAGGTAAAATACTATTCAAAGAATACCACACTCACAGCATCTAAAGCAGGGATTTTTAGAGACTGTGGCTCTCCTGCCTTGCTCAATTCTCCCACTATTCCCCCACATCAGAGACTGTACTGTTCTGTCGTAGGGACCTGTAACACCCTGTCTGTGGAATGGGAGATGCATGAGGTAGTGATTTTTGAAAGCAGTTCAAGATTTCCTCTGCATTTTCCATGTATTATTGTGTGCCTGCCTATCTTTCTCCCTTGCGGACTATCCTTATTGTAGTGAAGAAGTTGTTTTCATGAGGCTGTGCAGGATACAGTCTCTTGGCAGTAAGCTGTGAAGATCCTGGGAGTGATGTTCTCTTTTCTCTATCCCCTTGTCTCTGACAGGGAAGTCATACACCATGATTGGAAAGGATGATTCAATGCAAAACCTTGGCATAATCCCTTGTGCCATCTCCTGGCTCTTCAAGCTGATTAATGAACGCAAAGAGAAGACAGGAGCCCGCTTCTCGGTTCGAATTTCTGCAGTTGAAGTGTGGGGGAAAGAAGAAAATCTGAGAGACCTGTTGTCAGAAGTAGCTACAGGCAGCCTGCAAGATGGCCAGTCCCCAGGTGTCTACCTTTGTGAAGACCCCATTTGTGGCATGCAGGTGAATCCAAGGTTCATTTTACACTGAAACAAGCAATATGATTTTTTTTTTCCTTCTTTTTTTTTATTGAGATGATTCAAATTCAAGAACTACCCAGAGCATTAAGTTTATAGACTTGAAAGTGTTTACTTTAAAATATGCAAGAAGTTTATGACCTGCAGCTGCTGGGCCATCTGCTCCCCTGGCCTAAATATTTTACCTCTGGTATAACTGATACTGAGCAGGGGCTTGTGTTTGCAATAAAATGTGAAAACACTAGATGCAAACAAAAATGCACCTCATTCTTAAAAAAAAAAAAAAAGTGATCTCTCTTTTGTAAAACAACAAGCTGAAATATTTACAGTACTGCACAAATAGCTGCAGGCCATTAATGTGGCTGTTTATCTCTTTATAAACTATTTATAGCATTTGCATTAGCAACATTGTAGGAAACATTAATCGCTACTTATTAATTGCTGCCAAGAAATAAATTCCTGAGCTGGGCAAGCCAAGAGCAACTTGAACTCTCCTTATGTTTGCAGGTTTAGAAGGAATGAGTAACTGGCTCATGTCTTTCCTGGGTAACCACTAGAAAGTCTCAGCAGCCCTATTTCCCCTCCTCCCTTGGTTTGAGGGGAAGTAAGGCCTATTCTTTATTTTTGCTGTCTGTGAGGGAGTAAATCTGATTTTTGTATGAGTAGATGAAGAGGGAGCGAACCAGGATAATGGAGCTTGAATGCATTCTTTCAACCTTAAAAGCAAAGGCTGCATCCACCGAGAACCTGCAGAGCACTGCCTATCCAAGGATAGGGAATGGAGGGAGACAGAAATGAACCTACAGGGTCATGTACCCTGTTTCCAGCTCCAAGAATCTAGAAATCACGATTCACATCCACAAAAGTCATGAACTGTGGGATTTTTAATAGCAAATAATAAGTTTTGTGTTTTATCTCTTCGTGGTTCAAGCCTTTTAGGCATATTGAGATAATATTTTCCATTCTTCTCCATTCTACCCAAGGACTACAAAGTTGTGTCTTGATCTTATATAACAATCAGGGTTCTCATTCTCACTTAGTTCCTGGCTTGAGCGCTTAATGGAATACTTGCAGTATCACAAGAGGTCTGATCCTCTGGTATCCAGTAACGTGTGCAGTCTAGAGAATATAAGATGGGAGGCTTGAGTCTTCACAGCTCTTGTTGCGGTGGTAGATAGGTTAGTTAAGCATACATATGTTACCTGTGTTATGTTAACTGTCTAACAACTAGGCTTTCCATAGAGCTTAATTCTTTACTGAGGTAATTAAGCAGAATAACAATAATAAAGATCCCATTATTGTTACTTATTTTCATATAGATACACATAGAACAGCTATATAAAAAATGAATTATTTTAGATCAGTGGGGACAAGGTAGCTTCATGAGACATCTATGTATCCCTACAATGTAAAATACTGAATTAAATTGCAAGAAAAAAAACCTTTTTATATGTGTTTACTAGACATAGCGACATTCTGGAGTCATGTGTCCTACACCTGAATTCTCAAAATTCTCAGATGAAGGGAGGATATTACATTATAGCCATACAGACATGCAAAATCAGCAGTGTATAACAAATAAATAATCAGCGTATGTCGTACTGTCTGTCATTGGGCCTTTCCAAGTCCACATATTTTCTTGTTGCTTACATTAGTGAGATCAGCCCACAGCCTGCCTTCTGCTTGCCTTGTTAACTCCTTCCTGCCCCACTCTCTCTTTCTAGAGAGACCTTAGCTTTCAGCTGTGTCACCGCCTCCCATGCACAGCCCTGGATTAATCCCTCCTCAGGCTGATTACAGGTCATCAGGAGAAGACAGGAGCACTGTCTTCTTCAAGAGAACTGTAACAGTATTACGTAGCAGGGGAGCAAACCCTGAGAATGGGAGTTCCTTGTTGTTTTTATGCCAGGCAAAACAAGTTTATACTATGGGCTGTGGGCCAACTCTGCGTACTGCCAAAACTAATGCCGCTAGATTGCAGAGTCACATGTCTCTTCCACAGACATACTAATCCTAGGTGACATGAAACATGCATGCATTCCTACTGTTATAGGGGGTTAATAATATCTGCCATCCTATGCTATCACTTTGGAGAGATAAGAACAGGCTGGTGACTGGGATTGAAGTTGCAAATGTGAATGTATGTACATTACCTGGCTTGTTCCATTTTATGGATTACCCTGGCTCATGAGCAGATGCATGAGTTTATGTATGAAGGGACAAGAATAAGGCATCTCTTCTCTGCTGCTCTCCACATGCTATGGGGCTGAACACAAAATTCAGTCCTGTTTTTCCCCAGGTTTAGCTGTGAACTGCTCTCTTCAAACACTTTCTGAAGGGTAACACATAGTCCTGCCCCTGCCATTCTTCACCAGCTGTTGAGTTTGGAATCAACGTGTCTTCCACACTTTCTTTTTTCCACTTCCAACCATCAGAAAGATGTGGTGATTGTCAGAGCCAATAATGCAGGGGGGAAAAAAGGTTGTAAAAATAAAGAAACTAATGAATAATTCATAAGCAAAAATAACTTCAAATTCTGGGAAAGTGAAGGAATAAATTTATGTGCGTGTCCTGCCCATAGGACAGTTTCCAGTTGCTGGGGCGTATGTGCAGCAACTGCCACCAGAGGTACCCCAAGTGAGAAACCTCAAAAGCCTGGATTAAATTGTGGTGGTCCTGGAGGACATGGTATTGCCACTGCCAGTGTCGGAAGGGTCTCATTACGCCAGACAGCTCCTCCTTTTTTGGTCCCATCAGAAGCCAGTGTATCCAAAGTATGTGTTGACTTTGGGAAGTTGTCTGGAAGTGTTGACTTGTGAGGGAGTTTCTAGGTCATTTCTCCCTTGTGTTAACTGCAGCTTCAGAATCAGAGTGAGCTCCGTGCCCCTACAGTGGAGAAAGCTGCCTTCTTCCTTGATGCCGCCATCGCTTCACGTCGCAGCAGCCAGCGGGACTGTGACGAGGAGGATCACCGCAACTCTCACATGCTCTTCACTCTGCATATCTACCAGTACCGCATGGAGAAGAGCGGCAAAGGCGGAAGTAAGCTGTTCCTTTGCTCCCTTCTGTCTTCTCCAAACCTTCCTGGAAATTGGCTTTAAACAGCCCCTTAAACAATATTCTTTAGTGGTGAAAATCAGAAGAGTTCTCCAGTCAGCATGGGGTCAGGCCATTCGTACGGGCATGCTGTCCACCTGCCTGTTAAAGACTCACCAAAGCCGTTAAAGGCCATTGAAGATTATTACTGTCACTTGTCAATTTAGTTGCTGTTATGGAGATACTAGCAGTCCTCAGCACTCTCTGGCTCTCTGTATCTGAAAAAAAACCACGTGCTTTTCAGATTGGTTGTTAGTATTATCTTTACTAATAGTGTTGAGGTCATGGATTAAAACATTGTGGCAACAGGAATTCCTTGCCACCCTTATAGTAGCTGTTCCCCTTCTGCACCTAAATAAGGCAGTGTATGTGGAAGCTGATGTTGGTAATCCATAGACTGTACGTTTTCTTGGAGATTCATAATATTTTAGTTGCTGGTCTGACTACATTGTGCACAAAGGGCTCTCGTGGCTCTGGGCTTTTCAGATTGGCTTGCTCCTTCTCTTTGCCATAGATGCTTTCATTGGCTTTTGTCTTTACTTCCATCTCCCACCTGTAAATGAAGAAAAGATGCTTCCATGTCTACTTACATGTTTCTGTTATTTTCAAAGGTTTCCTTTGTCTTGCACCATTTATATTTTTTTATTGTATTTATCTTCTTTTTCAAGTCTCCCAAATGGTTTATAACTGGAGATATACCGAGGCATTTTTTTTTAAAGTAAGTTCCAGTGGTAAAAGATTTGTATACAGTATGAAGCACCCTCACTGAAAAAGAAAACTTTTACACTGAAATTCTTTTTTTTTTAAATAATAATTTTTTACAGAGAGAAAATGTTTGTTTGAAAGACACCAGAGACCTCTGCTTCTTTAAATTTGTGGGCTTAGGCAATTCTGCAGGAGTAGCATACATTTCAGCTCCTGGATCTGCATAGGTTATTTGTAACACAGAATAGATTGCAAGCTATTGTGTGTAGTCGGTGAACACCCACCACAGTATTAATGGCTAATGTTTGAATGCAGAAAACTTACATTGGCTGTACTTACTAAAGAAAAAACAGAAAGTTGTTCTAAATGGAAATGCAGTTTGCATGTGTTTAAGTAATAACCCCAGTGCAACTGGCAAACAGAAATCTCAATTAACTAAAGGTTTATTAATTAACCACCCTGCGGTGGAAAGGAAGACTGAATGCTCAGACAGACTTGTTCATAGGAATTAAGATGGCTAAATTTGAGGGAATTATTATTAATTTTTTTTTTACTGCATGCAAGTACATGTACACAGTTCTTTTCTACTATTTTCAAATGCAATTAATAAAAAGAAAAAATAAAAGTTTTGCTGTGGCTATAATGACTCATTTTCCATAAATGAAGACGTGATCCTGTTGGATTATAATATGGCATGCTTTGCCCACTGCCTTGAGTTATATCTTTTTCTTATGGCCATACCACCTCTTGTCTTCAAGTTCCCATATCTGACTGGTCTCACAAGCCAGACAGGGTCAGATCTCACCGATAATTGAACAAGGGGGGAATTCCAGCTGCCTAGAAAGGGCGCCTAGTGATTATTGCTGTCTCGTGCTGTAATGAAGGACTTTTTAGAAAAAAACCCACATGCAGATAGTAGAGATCTATAGGTTCCAGTAACAGGATTTAAAAAAAAAAAGAAAAAAAAAAGAAATCCAGCTTCTTAAAGGGCTGGGTAACGTATGATTTTGGTAAAATTGACTGTGAGAATAACACATTGGTACTGCACTTACCTCCTTGTTAGATTCATTACCAGGAATGTCATGAAGCAGGCCTCATACCATTGAAATAAATGGCATTGTGGCAGAACTGTCACAGTCATTTTTCAGCTGTCAACTCTGCAAAGTCTCTGTGGCCATACACAAAAACAAGTGTGAGGATGTTCCACTTCTTTTCTTTATAGTTGCCAGGCATATTAGTGCAGAACTTGCCTAACAAATAACTTCATTTTAATCTTAAGCAAGTGGATCTGCTATCCTTGAAATGTCTTACTTGTAAATTAAATAAGAAGGAAAGATCCAGTAATTTCTCTTATTCTGGATTTCCTCAGCCCGTGTAATAGGACTTTGTGTGGGAACAGCATGATTGAGATTTTGAAGAGTAATGATTTCTTTCATTTTCTTTTATTTCCCCAATGTCTGGTGATCTTAGTAACAGAAATATTTATTTAATATAATTCAGTAAAGTCACCTGCAGTAATTTTCAGTAGCAACTAAACATATTTCTTTGTTTTTCTAAGGAAATCATTGAGGGATACTCAAAAAAAGGTAATTTCAACATTCTGGGGGTAGCAGTCTTAGGAGACTCGGGGATTCTGAAGTCTTAAGAGTTTTAAGGACTTGTAGAGGGGAGGCAAAAGCCTTCCATGAGCAGTTCAGAGGAGGTGAAGGTGTACCTGCCTGGGTGGTTCCCCAGGAAAGCCTGACTTTCTGCATCAAGTGAAGCGTGAGAAGTATCCCACCACTTCACACCACCAAGGGCACAGTGGTGAAACTTCCATGGAGATGTTTAATGGGTTGTCATACAATATTTGGACTGTTACAGCATCTTGAATGTCTAGCCACCAACATTAGTTTAATCAGACATGTATTCTTCACTTCTGTTCCTTGATACTTAGTATGACTTAACCAATATCGCAGTATAATTTAATACATGGAAATCCTGTGTTGCCTAGTACTTGTTATAGCTGAAGAACTAACAGGACTTAAAAAATGCAGAAGTTACTGTATTTTAACAAATGTTGACAGACATGTTGGCTACATTTTTGGAACATTATTCTCAAACCCCATAGCATAAATCACTTTCACAGGATAAGTCTTCTCTCTTCTTTCTTCTTCTCCCTTTTCTTCTTTTTTCCTTCTTTTTTTTTCTCTCTGCTTTGCTTTTTATTTTTTCATCTTCTCATCTTTTTTCTCTTTATTCTTGTTTCTTTTTTCTTTTATCAAGAAAATCTACTTGGAATTTTATTGTTGTGCATTTTAATTAGCTATCACCTACAACAGAAACAGACTTATAGAATTATATATAACACATTCTAAGGAAAACATTGTGACATGCAAGACACCAGGTAGAAAGACTGAACACTGAGTCCTGTGTTTTGCAGTGCTTAGAAAACAAAATATCTTTCTCCTTATTTTTTCAATGTAGGTTAACATGTTTTAAGTTGCAGCTAATAGTTATATATACCTCTAGTAGCTGTATGTTTTCTACATTTATATACATTTGCTTTCTATCAGCAAATCTGCAAATTGATGTGGCTATATATCACTTTTTTGTCAATATATACAAGTTTTACAAATGTCTTCCTCACATCTGTGTGTAAATTTATTTCCTTCTATCTCCTGTAGCACTTACAGGCCTGTATACCATGGCATGGTACCACAGCTACTGAATGTAGGGTCATTGAAAAAACATACTTGTGGTTGATAAGACATTTCCAAAGCAATTAGATGTATCTAGAGAATTCTTTTCTTAGAGCCCCATTGTGTAGTTGCTCCCATAGCCATCTTTGCTTGTGAACTGGCCTCCCACCACTGCTAATCCCTTTTTTCTAACAACAGATGCATAATTTGAAGTGTTGTGTCAAAATGGCACTGAATTTATTTGCATAGAGGTAAACTCAGATGTGAAAGTATTTCTATACCTGTTAAAGTTATGTTTGTGCCCTCAAGTAGTGCACTTAACTTTTGAGTTAAGATCCTAGAAATAAAACTGCTGTTTCCCACAGATTGCTTGTAAACTAACTTTTGAGAATAGGGAGGAGTGGTCAAAGATCAGGTGCAAAAAAAAAAAAAAAAAAAAAAAATCCCAGCTAGAAAACTGTCATGAGAAAGGAGAGATTTAGAAGCACTTCTGTAAAGTCTACGTACTCCCCATCCTGGTTTCATAAGGAACCATAAACACTTAAAAAGAGCAAGTGTCTGTTAATTTTGGTGTTTCAAAGGTAGCATTTTTTCACTTTAAAGGTAGTGTGTTGATACAGAGTAAACCAGAAAAAAAACACTAGGATCCACTGCCAGTTTTACAGAAACTCTTTTCAGAATAGAGTAGCTTGTCCACAACCCGTCACCCATGGCATGGCAAACCTTTTCTTAGCCCAAATTATAATGTAAATGTATATAGACTTAAAGCAAAGTTGAACGTTCTACAGATGCCATAGGTTCTTCTGAAGATCCAGTATTCAAGATGGAAAAGATAGGAGAAGCTACCACAGGATCACTGCACACCAAGCAGCAATTCCCAGCCTGTAGTTTTCTGGACAAAGGAACAATAATGACAGAAACAGAGCTAAATCGGGTACGGGCTAATGGAGCTATATTTTAAAAAAAAAGGCACAGTGGTGACTTTCACAGAGTTAAACCTGCAGGAGTGGGTGAGTACTGAGACCCTTGGCAGTTCGGAAGCAAAAGCAACGTACAGCAGTAAAGGCTGACACTGAGTCAACAAGACCCCTATAATTTCTGAATTAGGAAAGGTTTCCGGATTGTTTCCTCTTTGCAGGTTGTGGTGAGTCTTTTGCTTTCCTGGGAAGCTGCTTTTGGAGGTACACACTAACTGTTTGCTTTCTTTGTCTATGGCAGTGTCTGGAGGTCGCAGTCGCTTGCACCTTATTGACCTGGGTAGCTGCGTGAAAGTGCTCAGCAAAAACCGGGAAGGAAGCTCTGGCCTCTGTCTCTCATTGTCAGCACTGGGCAATGTCATCCTCGCCCTTGTCAATGGAAGCAAACACATCCCATACAAGTAAGTGGTATTCTATGTTGCACCTAAGGAGAAGCTCTGGGCCTGAGGCAAATTTGGTTTAATCAGGGAGACAGTCTGCTGCGACTGGTGCAGCCTTCTTGAGGTACAGCATAACCTGCCTAAGGTTCAGTGACGCCTGATCTAACCTTACGTCTGGTAGATACACTGCATTTGGCATTCAGGTTTCAAAGGAAGAAGCTTGTTGAAATAGAACCTTATGTGTCTTAAAGATCTTGAGGGTCGAAGTTCAGCACACTAGAATTTTGCTTTCTAGGAGTGTTCAAAGATTTTTTTAATGTTTCAAAGCATTTGAGAACCAGTTTCATGTTTGCTCCACAGAGACAAATGTTGCTGCCATAAGGCGGCTCTATGGAGAACAATACTTTGCTGTTCATTGTACAGAGTTTAGGTTCTTGAAAAAATATGTCACAATGGGTATGCATGTATGTCATGAGATTCTTTATGTGATCCAAGGTTATTTTGCATTTTATTCTTGTATGGTTTGAATCCCAGTGTCAGCCTTTCACTTGTGAAAAAGAAGTATGCCCTATTTATCACACTAGACAAGTGGCCTTTGCTACTGCAGGTAGCTTCTGGGAAACTAGAGGAATTACTCACCTAGTGGGTATGTTTTGTACTCATTTCTCTTCACCATTGTCTCACCCCATTTGTCATGTGTGCAGGTCTGAAAGCAAGTTTGGATTCATTACCCAGCCCAGTCATACAGCCTTACTACTGAGAAGTTTCTGATTTTGTGAACAGTATTGCTTTTCTCTAGCCTAAAGCCTAAGGAGCAGCAACTAGCACCACAGGAATGGCTTACAGTAGTGTCTTGTAATTGAACTGCTACTGAGTGTCACCAATCATGAAGGGCATGTATATGAGATGAGAAGTTAGGAACAACAGGATGACATAAAAAAAACCCCAAGTCATTTACATAGCATATTTCACTCCATATACTTTACTCTTTTAATCATTTTAAAGGCTGCAAGCATCATAATTTTCTCATGTTTATTTGAGATTGCAAGGTATTGACAAGTTTTACTTCTTTGGCTTTGTATACATTTTTGAAAATAAAGATGAATTGAGGCGGGTTATAATTTTATTTTTCTTCTAACATTTATTTTCCAAAATTATTTGGCAGTCTGGGCTTAAAACATGCTCTCTGGAAATATTCCTGGAGCTCAGTCAGACTAGAATTCAGTGAAGGGCCAACCAAATTTGTACACATAAACATTCATTAGACATTCTGTAGATCATGCACCTACTCATAACTTCAAGATAGCTCGAACTCTGTACTTCACAAAGTGTACCACAAACTATGCTTATCAAAAACCTGTCTTCCTTCCTGTTGGGTTTTATGTGTTGATGTGAAGGCCAAGTGTAGAAATAGAAAAAGTTATGTTAATGATGCTTCCTAGGCTAGAACTAAACATACAAGAAATAATTACCAAATACAACAGCTGTCTTTCCTGGCAATGGCTGACTGGGAGAAAAACACTACAAAACACATCTACTTGCTGCACTTCCAATCTCTTTCTGCTGTGACTCCCTGTTGCTGCACTTCTGAGCTTATACAGCCAGAGGTGCCAGCATATTTGCTCATCAATGTCCGTACTGCTGAAAGAAGATAAAAGCTCTCTCCAGACCAGCATCTCCTCTTGAATTCACTCCTGTAAGAGCAGGTATTATAAATACAGAAAAGTGGTTGGTCATCTATAAATCAGAGGCAATGTATTTCTTTCTAAGGACAACTTTGAAAATGTAATTTGAAAAACATACTGGCATATTTTGGAGCAAATTTTTTCTACTTCTTGCTGAGAAAAGTCCAGAAAGCCTCTTTTTCCAAGTGTGATCTATTCATGAGCAATGTAAATAAGAATCTTGGTGGCTGAGTGCAGACAAACACTGTTTGCTCAGTGATCCATCAGTATAGCTGTATATGACTCCTTGGTGGAGAAGAGAGGAAGGAGGGGTGGGTGAGTGTGCTTCACTGCAGAAGAGACTGAGCATCCCATGGTCTGATGTGATATGTGTTCAGCAGCGCCTCTTGTTTAGCGCAGTGGCTAGGCTACCTAGCTGAGATAATTTCCTTTTCTTTAGGGGTGTTCTCTTTCACTGTTAAAAATAAAATTAAAATTTTAACTGCCTCTTTTAAGTGGGACCAGAAGAACCAAAAGAACAGAGATGTTTCCTTATGTGACAGCACTGCACATTGTATCTGTGGTCTCAGTGAATTTCCATAGAGCAGCAGACAAAATGGAGCATCTTTTCTTTATGTCAGCTATTAAACAGCCATTAAGTATTTTATAGCAGCCTGTCAGTAGGCACTGCATGGCTTCCTGGGAGCCCAGATACTTACAATTTCGTAGGAACCAGATTTTCTCTTTCTATAGAAATTTAGTTCTCTAAACTCTGAGAGGCTGTAGGCTCCTAAGATCCCTTCAGTGCTATATCCAGCTTTATCTCTGCAGGTAATAGCTGCAGGCAAAAGCTTGTTCAGTTTCATAGTTGGTACAAGCCCATGCTACTGCATTGACTTCAGTGGGCTGTGTGTTTATACCAGAGATGAATTTCCCTGTCTGCCTGCAGTCTATGAAAAACACATGCTGCTTTTCAGCACATATTGCATTCTTTTTTTAGTTACCCATAAGGCTAAGTCTTTGAAGCCATTAAGCTGGAATCTTTCTCCCTTGGGAACACCCCCACCTATCCCCATTTTGGGAATAGTAACATGGATTGACACTTGCTTCAGCAGTGTCTTTCACTGCTGAAGCAGTGACTTTCACTTTCTTTCTAGAGTTACCAAGGCTAGTCTTTTTCCTCCTTGTCTTCTACAACCTTTCTTCTGCTGTCTTGTGCTCACCCAGTGTCTCTGGCCCTAAGGACTCTTTAGAACTGTAATGAGAGCCTAACATGTCTATACAACATACAACACAGCTAGCCTTTGTTTTGATTCACCCATAGATGTTACTGGAAGGAAACAAAATATAGCATCCTTGTTAACAAGTTATTCCTAGAAGGCTCAAAGATTTTCCCATCAAGCTAGGATTGTTTTGTTTTTAAAGGTCTCGGAAATGTTCTTCTGCCAGCTTTTCCCCAAGCCAGTCATAACTTGTTAAATGAGACTGCAAATTCACCTTAATCACTATTCCTTCCCCTCATCTCTTCCTGCTAACGGAGCTTCAGAAGAATCATAAATTTGCTTTATTCTTGTTTAAAGGCTTAATACTTTTCTCTCCTTTCCTAACATCAGGAATCTTGTCTATTAAAAGTTGTAAGAAAATAATGTAGACATTCTCAGACATCAAACAATGCAGGCTGATATGGTTTGGGGTCTTGTCCTGCATTAAAGCTAAATTCAGAAGAATGGGCAAGAACCTTTATAATGGGCAACTACATGCAGCTAGTGAGTGATCAGGCTATGAGTTCTGTGAGTTTGTGTCTTTCATACCTGTACTTATAATCTTTCTAATATCTCTTTCAGTGGGTTCTCTCTTTGTCACTATTAATATCCAGATCTATTTTGAACCTTACTAAGCACATCATTCTGTCATGGTATGAACCAGTGAGTTCCTCCAGCTCAGCATGTATGTAAAACCAGAATTTTTAGTTTGATGTAAATATATTGCCAGTTAATTTCACCAGTTTCTCTTGCTCTTGAATTATGAGAAAATCCCACAAAAGACTGGGCAAGAATTATTTTCTCCACAGGAACGTCAAGTATCTTTATAAAAATTGAGAAGGGGCCTTTGCAAGCCCAAAGAAGAGAAGGGGAGTCAGCTCCTTCCCTGACCAAGTTTGATGGGGCTCAAATCTGCTCCAGAAGGAGGGTTTTGCTAAGTGGCAGCAATTGTTAGTGCCATTTTTTCTTTTCTTTTGAAGAACATTTCATCTTTATGTTAGTGCTTTGTTATCTGCCTCTGATTTCCAAGATAAATGCATTTTAAACCTTCAAATGAATACCCATTGACACAAACTCCAGCTACTGGTTTGTATAGCTCACTATTCAAAAACTACTCCAGTTGCTAGGCGACAGGGGTGGTAATAATTCATGGTAATGTTGTTTTGGAAATAATCATTTTTATACATTTTAATGACTATGAGAGTGTAAGAAACTGTTTAGGAAAGTGCAAGGCTGTATGAATTTCTCTTTTAGAAAATGTTGCTTGTTTTATTTAATAGGCTTCTCTCTTAATTGCTATCCCAATGTGCTAGTGATTCTGGAAAGATCCTGTATTTTGAACTACATGCTTAAGCTTATCCAAGAAAAGAGTCTTGTCCATAAAATAGATATGTGTGAGTCAAAAGCATGAATTTTATTCTTGGTTCTTCTGCTTCTCTGTCGTACAGTTGCAGTTTCTCCCAGATCTTACATGCTGGTATTGTTTTTCTTAATCCTATCTATAGAAAATAAAATGGTATTAAGTGACAAGTGCAAGGTTGCACAAGAGGTTTAGTGGCAGAGCCACCATGTTTTCAGATCTAATCTGGTGCTTAAACCATGGGCTAATCCATTCTTTCTTTCTTTATGACCTTTGGAAAATAATTTATTTCTGTATTTATTTAATTATTCCCATTTACAAAACCGAGCTAGAAAAGAATTGAAGTAGAACTTTGTAAAGGGCATTCAGACCTGGCAAAAAGCAGTAATAACACATTAACTATTGCTAGGATTCTGTTTGCTTTTTTTTTTCTTTTTTTTCCCACTTTTTTTAGAGTTAAAGACTCACATAAATGGTCCTAATGGAATGCAAAATCTGATATTTTTTTTCTAAGGGTAGATTATTATTGCTTTTAAGTGAAACGGAGAAAAGGGAAAGTGTTTTATTATATATTGTGGTATAAAAGATGAGCCTAAAGAATATGGTCTATATTGGATATTTTCTTTAAATTGTTAGTTAATTATTGGAGTAAAAATTAAAATTAGATTTGGATGTATCCAATAATTCAGATTCTTTTCTTAGTTAAATGGGTGTTATCCATCTGCAGTTGTTTAA